TAATAATAATAATAATAATAATAATAATAATAATAATAATAATAATAATAATAATTTGCTAGAGACTAGCTTGGATTCCTCCCTAGCTAAACAACTAAATTTGACAAAAAAAATTAGCGCCATGTTAGAATTTCCCACGAAACCTTAGCTACTTTTTAGCTAGGGATTAGCCAGGGAATGTAATCCTAGCTAAAAGATAATCTTTCCGCAAAATTATTAGCGCCAAAATAAAATTCTCGCTAAAATTTGGCTATAGATTAGCTAAGGAGTCTTTCCTAGCTAGCACATTGCTAGGGATTTGCTACGGACTGTGTCCCTAGCTAAACTATGATCTTTTGGAAAAATAAATTTAGCGCCAAATTAGAATTCCCACTAAAAATTAGCTATAAATTTGGCTAGGAAAAATCTGTAGCTATCATTTAGCAAGGAATAGTCCCTAGCTAATTCCTAGCTATTTTGTTACTAAATTTTTAATCGAAAAAATTTGCAAGGAAATTGGACTTCTCTAGCTACATCCCTAGCTAAAGGCGTATATTAGCTAGGGAATTGAATTCACACGCTAAATTCCGATGCTAATCGCATGTTCTCTTGTAGTGATAGATTTTGTCAAAATATATTTGAGTTTTTTTTTTGGCAAATACATGTTTGATCATCGATTTGCCAAAATATAATTTTACCGCTTTCTAGTATTTGCTAATTAATTAGTTATAAATATAAATCTCAATCTTTATAATTTAGAAAATTGTTCAAACTTGTCTTTTTTAGTGATATTAAATAGATATAGCTAAGCCTTAGTTCTCTGTGGGATTCGATTCCGAACTTTTAGATCAGATTATATTTGCAGTGATCGCTTATCCTTTTTAGGACCAGAGTTGGGCGTAATCAGCTAGCTTAGTAGCTTTTGTTCAGACCTTGTATATACTTAAAAAAATTAATAAATATTTATTTGAAATTACTATAAAAATTCATAAACTTTAAATCTTGGGTCTAACTCCTTGCGAAGGTGTCTCTCTCCTTGCGAAGGAGATGACAGAACAAAAAGAGTTATGCTATTGAAGAGAGCCAAATAGAGAATGAAAAACATTACATAATTTTTTTACAGTACTTCCTGCGGTCCAAAATAAGTGATTTTTTGGTTGTTTTCACATATATTAAGAAATTCACCTTTTAACATTAATTAACAATGAAATTGACCATATTAACCTTTATTATCTCTTCACATAAACATTCCTAACACATACTCCAACATTAATTACTCCAAGGGCAATATAGGAAAAAAATAATTAATTCATTCTTGAAATCTGAAAAAATCACTTACTTTGGACCACAAGAAAAAAGTTAAAAAATCACTTATTTTGGACCGGAGGGAGTACCTTGTTAAATTGACTTGGAAAAATCCAATCAAAGTTATCTAAAAATATGCATTGGTAAGTAAAGTTTAAGGTCAACATTCAACAAGTATATAATATAACGTCAAATGGATGTAATTTTTGATGAATTAGCAGATTTATCCAAAATGGGTATTCAAGAAAATTGCTTTACTGAAATTTGGCAAACTTTGTTTTCTCTTCTGGCTGAGGTGTGAGAACTCAGTATTTTCATTTTTCCATACTTTATGCTTCAAACTCAAGCAAAGAAATGTGTTGAGGTGGCGCTTTCTGAAGGCGACTATATCACGCGCTTGGACGCGCTGTATCGCTGAATTACACGTGACTATAGTCAATGAATATTGGGAAATTAAATTATATAAACCTAAAAAGTAGAATACACTTATATGAGTTTGAACTTTTATACATAGTCAGTGATAAAGAATTCTTACATTGTCGACTACAAAATAGTTACGGGAATATAAATTTGTTTTTAGTTTTATGTTATTTTTATAAAAGATTTTTGTTTTTACAAATAGGAGGTGTGAAAATAATACACAAACTATCTAAAAAAAAGTCATTTTCTTCTATTCAAATAGTAAGTGGCCACGAGAGATCATTTTCTCAATAGTTACTAGGAATTATCTATGATAACTAAGATTGGTAACATATATGATAAAGAGACAGAAAATGTCATAGAATTTTTAGATATCAAATCATCTCTAAAATAACAGTATATAACCATCTATAATAAGTGATATCATATTCTTAATATCAAAAATAAGATAAATAATACAGATAACATAAAAAAAATGCACTATAACAATGTATGCGAATTAAATTCTTTACATATTTATTAAATTCGATAACCGTGTTGGTGGAAGCAATGACGGACCTAGAATTTTGTGCAAGCGGGTTCAATCTTAAAAGCATATAACTTTAGTCGTAAAATAATACTTCCTCCGGTCCAAAATAAGTGATTTTTTACATGTTTTCACACAGATTAAGAAATCCACCTTTTAGCATTAATTAGCAATGGAATTGATCATATTAACCTTTACTATCTCACATAAACACTCCTAACACATATTCCAACACTAGTTACTCCAAGGATAATGTAGGAAAAAAATAATTAATTCATTCTTGAAATCTGAAAAAATCACTTATTTTGACCACAAGAAAAAAGCCAAAAAATCACTTATTTTGGACCAGAGGGAGTAGTTGTCAAGCGGGTTCAAATAAAATATTTATACAAAATTTATGCAACTTTAATTGAAATTTATACATATACATACCATTATTATGTGTGTCCGCCACTGGGTGAGAGATATCAAATAGCTCATAAAATTAGTCGAAATGCACGTAAACTGACTCGGACATCGTGATAATTAAAACAAGTTCTTACACATGTATTGATAAACCGTGTTTTTTCTCTAGAGGTGTTGTGTGGTGCCCGCTGAGGTCGGGGTAATGGGGTGGGTNTCTCTTTGCATCCTCTCTCAAATTCTTGCCTAAGTCTCTCTCTTTCTTTGATCTAATAATAACAAAAGCTCTTTGTTCCTCTCCCCAATCTATATATATAGCTCAAAATCAAGAAAATAATATTTTCTTGAACTTGGTTATAATTATTTTTCTTGAAATAATAATGGGGAGACAACCATGTTGTGATAAAGTTGGATTGAAGAAAGGTCCATGGACAGCTGAAGAAGACAAGAAACTCATTAACTTCATTCTCAACAATGGCCAATGTTGTTGGAGAGCTGTTCCTAAACTTGCAGGTCTCTCTCATTTTTCTATTATGGGGCTATGTTCTTTAGTGGGCTATTTGTGTAATAAGAAAAAAGTGGTCATTTGCACAAATGGCCTTTTTTTAATGACTATTCTTTAAATTTCGTGAAGGGGAGCCTTAGAGTAACTGTAAAGTTGTTTCCATGTGACATCTAGATTACGAGTTCGGCTATAAAAGCAGTCACTAATGTTTGCAATAGAATATGTTGTCTATATCATCCGTAGGGGCTGCGATCCTTCTCCAGTCCTTACATGAATACGAGATGTTTTGTGCATCGGGCTGCTTTTTTTGTCCTAAAAAAAGAATCATTCAATTACTTTTAAATGCGAAATATATCCTCTAGACAGGCAGGGATAGAATTTTAAAAATAGCCTCAGAAAAGGTCATACAGTGCAAATAATCCATGAAAATGTTTGGTGTCAATGATTGTTCCATTCCCATTGGTCCAATCTTGTTTCTCTTTAATGATTTGAAATCACAGACTAATTTAATTAATTACTTCAGAAAAGGTTCTTTACCAGATAGTATAGTAATTAATACTTAATAGTACAATTTTTTTTTTTTTTTGTGGGTGCTGAGTTTTTTATTATGGTGCAGGGCTTTTGAGGTGTGGAAAGAGTTGTAGACTAAGATGGACAAATTATCTGAGACCAGATTTAAAAAGAGGACTTTTATCAGAATATGAAGAAAAAATGGTTATTGATCTTCATGCTCAACTTGGCAACAGGTAAATTATTTAATTATCTTTGAAAAAACATACAAATTATTTTTCATACTTTTCACTTTTGGCATTTGAATATTTATAAAAACATAGAGTTTTAAAATAACTTTCATGTGGAGTTCATTAAAAGCAAACTTCAAGAAAAAAAGTAGTGATAGACAACAACTTTAACTCAATTTCAGACACCCATTCTTCACTGTGTAGCTTTCAGTGTCATTGTTATTATCAATTCTTTCTTTTTTTTCTTACCTATTTAAGACTCTTTTTACCCAAGTGGGAAAATGGACCCCTCAAATATTGCACTTCACAAGATACCAATATGTCAAACATTAAGGAAAAGAAAAAAAAAATCAAAAAAAAAAAAAAAAACAAAAAAAAAAAAAAAACTACTACTATCACATATCAAAATTTAATCTGATTGTGTAATATTTTCTCACTGAAGGAGTTTGAAGCAACAGTAAAGTTGTCTCTGTGTGACTTATAGGTCACGGGTTCGAAATGCGAAAGCAGCCACTAATGCTTGCATTAGGATATACTGTTTATATCACACCCTACCCCTTGAGATGCGACCCTTCCCTGAATCTGCGTTTATGCGAGATACCTTGTGCATCGGGCTGCCCTTTATTTTTATTTTTTTTACTATTAGTGTATACAAGTAACTCATTTCTTTACCTTCAAAATTATTTGCAGGTGGTCCAAGATTGCCTCTCATTTACCAGGTCGAACTGATAATGAAATAAAGAATCATTGGAATACACATATCAAGAAGAAATTGAAGAAAATGGGGATTGATCCAGTTACTCACAAGCCACTCTCCACTATTACTAATGACCAAATTACAAACATAGAACAGCCAGAAAATCTTCCAATTCAACAAGAAATAATCTCACCTTCCTCAGTAAATGATGTATCAATTGAACAGTCTGCTATTACAGAGATCAAACTAGACGACGACGACAACAACAATAACAAGAACACGGGGACAAGTTGCATAAATAATAACAATAACTTTGACTCAACTATACTGGAAGTCAACAATAATGGCTTTTGTACTGATGAAGTTCCATTGATTGAACCCCATGAGATTTTAGTCCCATCTAAATCAACCCCATCAACATCATCATCTTCTTCTTCATCTTCATCATCCAACATAATTGAAGATTTCAAGTTTTTGCCAAGTTTTGATGACTGGCCAATGGAAAATAACATGGGATTTGGATGGGAAAATGATTTCAGCAGCACATTGGATTTCTTGCTTAATGATGATAATGACATGAATAATGTCACATATGATCATGAATCTTGGAAGTTTGAGCAACTCTTGTGATATAAGTTTCGTCGCGCCGAGTTTAATTAAAAGCTTTTGTTTTTTTTTATATAAGTTCGTGTCGCTTCTTTTTTTTGTTCTAACTTTTGTTGTTAATAGTAGTTTAGATGTTACATTCATTTAAGTGGAATAAAAAGTCAAAAAGTATGGGGACAAAACATAGAAGCCCCATATCAAATATTTGTTTAATTTTACTTTTTCTGTTAAAAAACTGTTTGTTCTAATGCACATATCAGATTAAATTTTCCTGTAAGTGAATGCATTTGCAAAGTTATAATATTGTGGCCATGCAAGAGATAGTGCCTTGTATTATCTATTGATTTCTTTTTTTTTTTTGGTTTAACCGTCTAATATCTGAAACCTATATATCTGACTAATTTGAATTTGCGTCGTGTAGAGCTCATAAAAGAGCGAAGCAACTCTATCAAAAACTTCTCTATTAATTTTTAGTTCTAACCCGAGATCTCTAGTTATGTTTTGGAGGGATGTATGATGTTATTTCCTACAATCACTTCGCTGACTATCTATAGCACTGATAATAGTTCAACTTGTACATTTTTTTATTTCAATTTTAGCTCAACTTCTACGTTTTTTGTTTTCAATTTTAGCTTTGTCAGTAATCCATCACAAGATATCAACAACGACGTCCTAGATGATAGTACTAGATTTTTGACATTTTCATTCATGGAACATAAACAAATAGAGAAGAAAGTAAGTCAAGAAGTTTACACAAATAGTAGATGCTAAAATATTCTCATTATTCAAGGGGGGGAGGGGGGAAGACAATATCGCTTAACATTTTCGATAAAAAGTCGATTCAAAATCAATTTGAAATTTATGAGTTATGAATTTTATTATATATATTTAAAGTGAATTTCTTAGTAACTATACAGGGTTTAAACCAACCCTGTATAATTACATGAAGTCGTATTTTTCATGCTAGCTCCGCCCCTGATTTTACTAAGTTCAGGAAAGGTCCTTCATAAATTTTAGTAGAGGCATGCAATGAATGGTTGATAATGCTAGTATTTTCTATTATTTTAAACAAATAGAAAAAAGTAATATATATATATATATATATATA